GGGCAGCACAGCCTGCAGCAAGCCATCCTCTGCATGTTGATTTCCTCACCAGTCTAGAAAACCCGTACACATGTAAACATCAACTCTGACTCACAGGCTATTACAAGGATTAAATGCACAGCACTTGTGAAGTATCCAGGGTAGAGCCAGGCACACGGCACAGACTGAGAATGTATCCCACACTGTATAGTTCCTGGAGACATCCCCTTGAGCTCCTCTTCTAGATTCCTTCCTGCTACCCTCAGTGTTGCCCATCTTTACTCTAAATGATGCCAAGAGTGTCAGGTTAGCAAGGAACCTTTCTCTGCAGAAATTCATTCAAAGATAACAGCCCCACATAGTGAGCGCACATCCACCTGTATACAGCACCCCTTCCCTTACCCAGCCCTCCCCTGCAAGCAGCCTTCTTGTACACAATCGTCCATGGCGGTAGGACTATAGGCATAGCTACTAGAGATGGGCATTTATTCACTAAATACAGTCAGCATGCCATTCCCTGGACAACACCTCTAATGATATCCCTACCTACAATTTCATGCACTTAACAGCCATATGCTCAGGCTACTGCCTAGTTGCACGGGTTGCAAACTGAACACAGGAGTGCTTTTCATTCTGTAAGAACATATATGGCAGCCCTGACTGATTCTCTAGGTAAGTCCAACTGATCAAAATTAACCAAAGAGCTGAAAGTCACCAATGAGGTGACTCCTATTAGTCGCACCCATGGTAAGCATGAGCTAAAAGTCTGCATCAAGACCAGAGTGGTGTGTTGCCTCCTCTACAGAGATTTCAGTTGATCCCACTGTCCACATGGGGGAGGGAATGGACTGGCTGCCCCTCACTTCAGTGGGCCACCTTCAGAGCACCAAACATTCCCTGGCCGTATCCCATCTCTCTGGTCTCTCTTTTCATTCCCTCAAACTCTGCTTAGCTTTCAAAATCTTTACCCCTGTCACATGTTTTCCTCCAAGTGCCCACTGCCATCAGCACATCAGACAAACACTGAGGTAACAGCAAAGTTGCACACACTGTGTCAGGTCCCAGATTAATGAAAGCACATGTGTATGTACGTACATGGGAAAATGTATGTATATTGTAAACAGTGGAAATGGCATAAGTGTTCAATAATTGGAAACTTTAGATAAGAGATTGTGTTCATGTGATTACATATTTAATGTCACAGGTAAAACTGAAGGAGGTATATTGAAGAAGGAAGAGGACATAAACTTATTCAGTAAAACTGTCCCTAATTCAATACATTAAATTATTAGCAACCTTTCTGTCTCTGAATTATGGTAAAGTTATGACAAAATTAACTGTGATCCCCATGAGGAAAGGTGGACTTAAAACAATTTACAACATATTAATGACATATTAACCTTCTTGAGTGGTGTCACATCAGGCTCTATAATGGTTAGTTTTCATTCTTTCGTTCAACGTCCTAAACAACTTTTGAAGTAAATGCAATTTGCCTGCCTCATGGTTTCCAGATTCTACTCCTTGACTTTCACTCACATGCATAACCAGCACTCCCACAGCCTAGGTGCCAGGCAGCCTCACTCTTAACCACTACTTAACCTGGTGGTCCTCATTTCTGGGCCCAGCCTCCATGCCAAATGCCCCATAACTTCAATCGCTAAACCTCATAGTAAATCCATTTGCTGTACTACTCCAGCTTGGGTATCTTGTTGCACCAATGCCATCTCCCACCCCACTCCCCTTATCCCAGAATCAGCTCTCTCAGAACCCCTTCTCTCATCTATTCAGTCAGGTGACGGTCTCCGGGCTTCAGAAGGCTTACCCACTCTTTCCCACCATCTCCTTCCCATCAGACCTACAGCAGTTCCCATGGTCCACTTTCTGAACACCATCCTATTGTCCAACCTGCTCAGGAAAGTCTGTACTACAGTTGTTTCATCTCTAGGCCAGCCTGATTCTCCAAACTAACTCACAAAGAATGCTTTCCAGCAGCTTTGTCTCCTCTGTTTTTATTCCATCTACTTGGTCCTGGCAGGCCTGCAGCATTAAGAGGTAGGGGATGAGGGGCTGCAGAGATGGCTTACTGGTTAAAAGCACTTGTTGCTCTTACAGAGGACCCAGGTGCGAGTCCCAGCACCCACATGGTGGTTCATATTCACCCATAACTCCATTTCCAGGGCATCTGATGCCCTCTTCTGGCTTCTGTGGGCACTAAGCATGTCCATGGTACCCATACATTCCTGCAAAATACTCACATGCAAAATAAAGCAAATACAGTTTTAAAGGGATGGGGAAGGTTGTGGCACCTTTAAGAGGTGTAACCTTGCTGGAGGAGTGGATCTCTAGGGGCAGGCTGTGAAGTTTGCTTCCCAGCTGCTTTTTGCACTTACCAGGTGCTTCAGGTACTACCTGATGCTATCCCCCCCATGATGTACTGTATCCCATTTTAAACTGTAAGCCAAAATAAGCCCTTCTAATCTTAAGTGCTTCTTGTCAAGTATCTGCTCACAAGAAGGAGAGCAAGAAAAACAGGAGCCCTCCTGATCCTCCAGGACCCCTAGCCCATGGAATTAAGCACATCCCCTACAAGGGGCGGGGTGGGGGGTCGCTTTTCTGTGCCTGCACTGTTGTGGTCTGAAAGAGCTGACTGTGACCACTCCCTTATTTCCGACTAAGTCTGTATGCCTTTAGAGCAGAGGAGCCATTTATTCTTAGGAAATCCACTTCAGTGTATAGAAAATGTCCATTGAAAGCTTTTTGATGGCAGGAGACAAGAAAAGGGAGGAGGGAAGAAAGCCAGAAGGGAAGGAGAAAAGGAGGAAAGGAGGGAGGGGAGAAGGGACAGAGAAGGCAAGATTGGTTGACTATTGATTTTTCCTTTGTGGCTTTTGCTTTTGTTTTTGATATTTTTTTTCCCATATTACAAACCAGTTTTCTCTTCCTGCACCAATTCTTCTGGGTGACTAAGAGAGACATTGTCGATTATATTGTGTAATTATTACTTTTTGCTTTTTGTTTGGCTACCAAACTCTGTCAGCAAAAAAAGGGGAGCCAGTCTCAGTGAGGCAGGATGTGGGGGAAGGGAATGTGTTTGTAGAGTGTCTTGTGTTAAAATTGCATCCTGTTGTGAACAGTGAGTGAATCCCCACAGGGATCAGCCGTGGGATGGCTCTAAATCACAAGGAGATGGACCTTGGTCCAGTCTGGTCAGCAGGGACCAGACCTAATTCTTAATGCCATGCTGCTGAGCATCATGTAATTTGTTAAATGCATCTCTCTCAATACCATGCAAGCCACACCAAAATGCTGAATCTCCTCTAAGCAGAATGCACAAACACAGCAGCACTGGCAAATGCTACACACAATGGAAGATGAAGGATAGAGTGGGACCATCAATTGTCCCTTTATGGGCATCCGGCATTTGGTGAGCTCACCCCAAATTGTAGCTCCCTGGCAGGATCATAAACGAGAAGGCTCTTTACTCGTCCCCTGACAAAGGCAGGAGGGGTGTTGATGTGTGCTGTCTGGGATGAAATGCAGTCCAGAACACATCACTCTAAGCACATGACATAAATAACAACATTAAAATCACTAGCACCATTACTGCAAGCCATAACAACAATTAATAACACGGGCAAACAGAGAGCAAGACAGCAGGCCCGCCTCCTCAACACTCTTAAGTTTCCTGGAGAAATCAGAGTCTGTGAGAGCAATCCAATTTATCTGGTACCCAACCTTCCAATGCATGATCCTTAAATATGTCAGTGTCTAAAGAGGAAGGGAAAATTCTTGACACAGAAGTAAAAGTCATGGTTCAGTAAAATATTTAATGACAGTCAATGAGAAATATGTAGAGACTCTGGTGGATAAGAGTCTAGTTGGCCAGCTGGAATTCCTGAAGGGTTGGTGGTGGGTGATGGTGAGCAGTGCAGGGAAAGTTCCAGGTTTTTCCACAGTGAGGTCCCAGGAGGCACAAGGATGCAGCGCTTAAGGAGATGGAGATGGCGTCCACTGGGGTATGATTCCCAATGTGACTCCAAATTCCATGAGTGGTTTTGTTGTTGTTGTTGTTTTTATTGTTGTCTGTTTGTTTTTTGTTTGTTTTTTGACTCTTGAGTACATTGAGAGAAGGAGTGAGTGAAAGGGTTATGGCATTTCCTCTAAAGACAACATATGAAGTGGCTGTCTGAAGGATGTCACTTAAACATGCTTTGTTGAGTTAAAATGTTATTGGGAGGTGTCATTTCATGGCTTTCCAGTAACAGGAATCAAGCACTTCAGTGCCAGGAGCAATGAAGAGGACAGTGCAAGCAATGGCTAATAAGAACCAAAGAAACAAAGACAAAGAATGCCCTAGAAGGAAATAAAGTCAGGAAGGGGACCCAAATCAAACAAGTAAAGAGATTGCTTACAAGGAAATTATGTCAGGAATGTTTTTATCTCACATTAAGGCATCTTACCTACCCTACATTAATTGGATGGGTCTATAGAAAAATTGGCTGTACAATCTGTTAAAAAAAAATGAGTTCTCTAGATGGGTCTTTTGGTGTGATTTCTCTGGAGCACCTCAGCAGTTAGTTCTAGTCTAGGCTGGGATTCTTTTCTGTTGCCTGGTCTGGATGCAAGTGTATAAGCATAGGAAAAGGAGAACTCAAACTGGGAGAGAAATCTTGCCCCAAAGTCATTGAGATGCCATTTTCAGCGAGTGGGATACTAGATCAGCTTTTTAAATGATTTATTTCTATCCCTGTGGCTAAGCACACCATATCTCTCTCTTCATCTGGGTTCCCTAGTCTGTTTCCAGAGCTACTCCTGAATCCTTGAAAACTAGAGCTGACTTCTGTGCTTTCCCAAACCATCTTAGCCACTGTGACCAAGGTATTCAAAGATTCTGAGCAAAGTTCTTGCATGTTCTAGTGGTCCAGATTCATCTTCTGAAGAGAATGACAGACATCTAGAATGTTATGAAGACGATGTTTGGACAACAAGAAGACAGAGACGAGGGGAGGGAAGAGCCATACCTGCTCCGATGACCTCTTCAATTTTCACAAAAGATACATCAATCTCCTTGGCAAACTCCCGGACAGCTTCATTGGGGTCCTCATATGTGAAGGGATCAATGTAGATCTTCATCCCTGGGGAGCCTTATTGGGTGAGATAAGCAGATTAAAATCCAAGACAGGATACAGGGCATTGCTACTACTGATGTCCCTAGCACCAAAGGCATTCCTGGGAGGGACCCGTCTCTTAGCCAGATTGTGGTAAACTTCTTCTGCCCAATCTCTTCTTCCTGGGCCTCCCCATATCTCTTCTCACTAGACCACTCTGGTTCTATGCCCTCTACTTCTCCTCCATAGTTTTTCTTTTTCTATACTCTTGATGAAATGTGGAACAGATTATTTATAAGTGACAGATCGGGACCAGTTCCCACACCAGGCACTCACAGAAGCCAAAGAAGCTGATTGATGCCAACCAAATGCATTAGCAGAAAAGTGGTGGCAAAATGGTAGGGTAGATATCAATATTTATCAACTTGACAACTTTCCTGAGTGGAGGCCACTGTTAAGGTTATAACTGACGGCTGTGGTCCACGGCCACAAGAGGGATGAGGATGGATTTTTTAAAAAAGAAAGAAATCGCTATTAGAAAACCCTCAAGACAGAAGTGCCAACACCATATACCAGAAGAGAAAATGTGAGGAGAAAGCTTAGAAATACTAATGCAGGAAAGAGCAATGACTACATAGGAAAAATGGGGTGGAATGAAAGAAAAATGGTAATTGAACCCCCCCATGCCTTCAGACACACTGAAGTATGAAAAACAAATAAAATGGTAGATGAGAAATACATAAAGGAATATAGACCTTGTCACTGATGTATACAGTGGCAAGATAGATAGGTGTGCTTGAGGACAAAATAGAGAATTGTCATTGCAGAAAAAAACATACTTTCAAAAAGTAGAGGACAGGGGACTCGAAAAGCAAATGGATTCATTTGAAATGTAATTTTTCACCTTGTTTGATGCATCATTAAGTGGAGTGTAGAAACTGTCTCCACCATGCTGGAATGGTGAAAGGTGGGGCCTCCAAAAGATGGGCTGTATGATCTACTGCCACATCCCTGCTGATTGCTGTGCCATGATCATGGAGGAGACAGATCAGCAGGGCAGGTCAACTGGGTCCCCATGTGTGGCAGGGATCCAGGCCAAGGCTGGGCTTCAGATTCCAAAACCCTGGCCTCTGCAGCTCACCCACACCTATTCCCCACTGCCTCCAAGCCTTCCACCCAAGCTCCAGTTCTGTCATTTTCCATCAGGAAAACATCTGATGCCTCCCTGGATATCTTGATCACCTCCTTATTCAGGAAAGGATTAAAATCCTAGGACACAATCCAAAGAAGGAAGGAAGATTCACTGAAGAACAGGGGAGATTTATTTCTTTAAGCCAAAGGAAGCCAAATGCCCTGACATGAGGAACAGATTTTCCTCAAAGATCGATTCCTTTGGCCTTAAGCAAATGCTAGTATTCTGGGCTGCTTGTTTGAAAGCAGTCAGCACATTCTAGAAAAGCTTCTAGTGGTGGGATTCAGAGGTTAGGGGCATAGCTCAGCCAGGAAAGTGCTTATCCTGCAAACATGAGGACCTGAGTTTGATGTTAACATCCATGTAAAATTCTGGATGTAGTGGCATTGGATTGTAACCCCAGTGCTGGGGAGGCAGAGGAGGCAGAGACAGGTGACTCCCCAGGGCTCGCTGCCCAGCCAGCATGGCCTAAAGTAGCAAGGTTCCAAAGAGAGATCTTGTCACCCCGCAAAAAAAATGTTGGAGAACACAACACATGAGGAACAACAACTAAGGCTGATCTTGACTGCCATCCATCCAACAAATGTGCACACATATGCTCATGGACTGTACTTGCACACCTCCCACCACATACCCATACATACATGAAAAACTCTACAAACCTGATGCTGTCTTATCTTTGACTTTGGAACACACTAACTAAAATTTGGACAAAGCAAACAGACATCCTAATCTCTATATCGAGTCAACATACTTCATGCTCGAAAACCATGCAAACAAGTTAAAAAAAAAAAAACAGCCACAAAAAGAATCATAATGATTTAAGTAAGTTTGTGACTTTGTCTTGGGCCACATTCAGAGTGACTTTTGGCTGCAGGAGGCTTGTTGCACAAGTGAAACTTTTCCTCCCCAGGGGATAGCAGCATGTGTGCCCATGTGCATGAACAAGAAAGCTCTTCAGTAAGGATAGACCAAGGGCAAAGCAGAGAGGAGGCATCAGTGATTCCCCACCTGCTGTGCAGAGCAGGTGAAGAGCAAATGCAACCAGCCAGACTTGAAGCTTGTGAGAAGCCCAGGGCAGCATCTCCAGGCTGCCACAGCCCTGCTTAGGGGTCCCCCTACAAATGAACTACAGGCCAAGCTATGAAAGCAAATGGCTTATGTGGGGGATGCCAAGAAGGTCAGGAAAGGAAAAAGGAAATCAAACATAAGGCAGCATATTTAAGGTGTGTCCTTAAACCACTGACTATTGTAGGTCATTATAACTGGCATTATCTCCTCAAGGACACTTCGTGAACTTGGATGGGTGATCACAAGGGAGCCAACGTGTTTCCATAGTGATTGCCACAGTCAAAATGTAGGCACTGAATGGCTGGTAACACAGGAAAGAGGGAGACTCCATTGCCAGAGAAAGCAGTCAAGCAAGGAAACACAGATGTTGACAGTGGAGGTCAGCCACCATGCATAGAAAGATGAAGGAGGCAGACAAGACAATACAAAAACAAAATGCAAAAAGAGAGAGAGAAAGGGAGAAAACAGGGGTAAAAAGTGAAACCAGGGTAGTGCCAGCAAGCTGCGACTAAGCCTCCTAATTTTCAACATCCCTAGTGAGGTCCGCAGGTGACATTAGACCCCCAAAGTACTTTATTAATTCTGCATACTACAGCAAGCTCAGACTTATCTCTTACAACAGCTTCTCCACCAATAGGGGGAAATGAGACTTCTCTTCCAGCTTGCCTGTGAGAATAAAGACCCTATGACAAGTGGCAGGCCCAGCACAGCACCCCATGTAACGGGAAGACTCCCTGACTAATAGACTCATTACTGTTATCAACAATTTTTTTTCTTGGAAGTGTGTGGGGTGGTAGAAAAGGAAGTGAGGCATGGTGGGCAGTGGGGGAATGTAAGCCACTTAGGGTTATATTAGTTACTTTCAAAATAACTACCTTGTTATTTTAGATCAAGGGCTTTTAAAGATGTATGCTAAGCTGTCCTGAAGGAGTTCTTCCATGGAAACTAATTAAACAATCTAGAATGGGCTGTAATGAATGGTTTGCAAGTAAAGACATATATGAGGATGAATGGGAAAGGATTCAGAGCTAATGAGCTTTACAGATATTGGCCCCAGCCAGTTTGGGGAAGAAGCCATTCCCAGAAGGGAGACAGCTCATCTCTTGATGGAGCCTCTATTCTTTAGGCCAGTAATGTGCCACAAAGTGCACTCGATGGAAAAAATGTCTTCCCTATGATGAGGCATACACTTACGTCCCCAACAAAAGTCTGAAGAATGAGAGTGTGAACGCTTATGTGCCTGCATTTTTTGCACTCACCTGGACATACATGTGACATAGTTTCTGTGCTGTGTCTGAGGACTTTGGCTGTCGCTGAGGCATTTCCTCAGAAGCCAAGAAGGCTGCTTAAAGTCCAGGACTATGATCTGTTGAAATGCCCAACCAAAATGAACGCCCTAAATCTTGCCTCTAATTTGTCAGTAAGAATCACCCCCGACCCCCGACCCCGTTTTCCTGACATTGAGTAAAAGCATTATTATATGGAGGAAAGAAACTGGGAAAGTTCAATCAAGGTCTAAGAGATGGCTCAAACTCAGTGCCTTTCCTCTAGCCACCGCCACTTAAGAGTCCAATAAGGCAGGAGGAAAAGATGGTCTTGGCCCAGGTCCTCAGGATGCAGGCAGGGGTCTTTGTATTCCAAATTAACAGAGGGATTTGGCTAAGCATATGAATACAATGGACCTCCTTGCAAACACCTTCCCATATGATGACAGATCTCTCTAGACCATGCTCCCAATCTCTAGCCAGCCTTTCTCAAATCCCAGAAGATGAGGAGGAGAAATAAATGCCTTTTTCTAGGCAGAACAGGTCATTTGTCTTTCGGCTCATTTTGTGTTTCTGCATAAATCCTGCATCAGCCTGTTCCTGCTCCCACTTGCCAGTGAGCAGTTTTTAATTATCAGGAAAATGGTATTTAGTGCAATGAATCACCAGACAGTGAACAAGGAATCAAGTCAGCAACGGAGTACAATGCAGACACTGGCAGACTGGGTGCAGATGTCCTCGGTTTGTGAATGCTGAGGAAATACTGTTAGAGGAGATGGCAGCGATCAGAGGTACAGACCCCTATAATACATGATGCTTTATAGGTATTCATGTGCCCTCCCACCACTCTTAGTAATAGAAATACTGTTACAGTGTTAGCCATATTTGAGTTTCCTTTAAAAAAAAAAAATCATTCATTGCATATCTTTGGCGTAAAAGGGGCATGTATGGATTTAAACTTCTGATTGCTAGACTCTCGTATTGTCAGTGCTTTGTTAGTAATCACATCCCCAGCTTTCCCATCTCCTTGTTTACAAATCTCCAATAAAGATCTAATTTGTAAACATGTTCATGGGGAGCATGGCTTCACTGCTCTCTGGTACCTTCCTGTGTGGCATCAAATAGTTCTGGAAGCAGAAGAAATTCCTTTCTACTCTCAGAGACCCCCACACCAGAGGGTCAATGGAAGTGGCGGAGTTGAGCTATGGGGATGCTAGAAGTCTTCATGGGGAAATTTAAAAGGTTATGGAGACATTTACAAGTGCCAGGGGTGCAAGGAAAAACAGAGAGCTCGCTGTTGTAAACAGCAGGTAACATGCATGGACTCAGAGCTACGGGAGAAGACCCACTGCCCTTGTGCAATCTTGGTGTGCATTCTGAATTAGAGTTAGCAGCAGGGCCATCTGCAGGCTAGTTGTGACAACTGATCCTAGGGGTTCAGAGGTTCCAGCAAAATCCAGCTGGCCTCTAGTTGAGGGAAGATTGCTAGAAACTGCAGGGTCATGTTG